TCCACAGCAGCAAAAAGGTGGAGTCAGAGGGCGGGGCGGGCGCTGCTAAGAAGGATTCCAAGAGGAAGAGAGAGTCGTCCGTCGGCGAGGAGGTGGAGGTGAAGTCTCCACTGAACTCTCCTCCAGAAGAAGAGGACGATGACGGCGTCCAGGTACGAGATGAACCAGAACCAGAACCAGAACATAAACACTCTGAATCCAGAGCTGCTCATTAGACCAACCGGGATCTGTGTGAGGAGCCATGAACTTTACAAACATAACAAACTGGTGGACTTTATGGTGAATACCAGCCTCTCAGAGGAATAAAATCAGAGGAGGTGCTCCTCCAAATGGAGGAAAACAGACTTCTGGACTCCTTTGTTCCTCAAACTGTACGACTCCTCACTTTAGGGAAGGAGGATGTGATGGTATCTTCCATATAAGCTACTGGAACCAGAATTTCCCCAAAGGAGTAAATCCCAAGGGATGAATAAAGTTGAGTCTAAGTCTATTTAGCCATTTCAGGTTTCAGAGTCTGGGCCCTTCTAGATGTTTGTTTTGTAAACACTGTCTACAGACAAACCCCCATCACCTCTTATCGGCAGCTTTTAGCTCTCAGTTTTATTTCCCAGAAAACCCACAGAGATTTTGGGCATTTAAACGTAAACGAGCAGGTTTAGACGACCAGCCGGAAGCTTCCGTTTCCCGTCCTGTTTTCAAGCTTCAGCCTTTTGGTCTGTAGTCAGGGCTGGATAAGTCTAAGTCTTTTCTACCAACCAACCAATCACGCGTGCCCTTTCAGAAGCGCCGATCCAGCCGGCAGGTGAAGAGGAAGAGGTACACGGAGGACCTGGAGTTCAGGATCTCCGACGATGACGACAGTGGAGACGACTCCACCACGCCCAAGTCCCCGTCGCATCAGCAGGTAGGCCCGGTTTTCTGAGGGAAGATGAAGACTTTCCAGCCATTTTGGGGTTTAAAACAAAAAAGAGAGCTCTTGATAAAAAAAAACATCATCATGGTTGTGTTCCTGGATTAAAAGCTTCTTAATAAATGATGTGAACATGAATAGATCTTAATAACCTAATAAGAACCCACGCATATACACATATATATATATATATTTCTCATCCTAAATGAGCCGGTAGTCCTGGTTTTCGGAGAGAAAATGAAGACTTTGCAGCCATTTTTGGGTTTAAAACAAAAAAAGAGAGTAGTTATTGCTCTTATCTTGATAAAAAATATCATCATGGTTGTGTTACTGGATTAAAAGCTTCTTAATAACTTATGTGAACATGAATAGATCTTAGTATCTTAATAATAATCCATGTATATACTTTTTTTTTTCTCATCGTAAATGGAGAGAAAATGAAGACTTTTCAGCCATTTTTGGGGATTTAAAACAAAAAAAGAGAGCAAAAATATCATTGTGGTTGTGTTCCTGGATTAAAAGCTTCTTAATAAATGATCTGAACATGAATAGATCTTGATAAGAATCCATGTTAATCTATATATTTCCTATCCTAAATGAGCCGGAAACTGTAGAGTTGGTTCTTTTGGCCCGTGGAGGTTAGATATTGTCTCAGGTTTCCTCAGACTCAGGTTCTGCTTCTTTATTTCAGCCATTTTTTGGGTTTAAAACAAAAAAAGAGGGCAGTTATTACTCTTGTCTTGATAAAGAACATCATCATGGTTGTGTTTTTTTATTAAAAGCTTCTTAATAACTTATATAAACAATGATATACAACTCCTGCTTCTTCCCCAGGACGTGGCGGAGGCCGAGGGGCCGGTAGTGGAGAAGATCATGGGCCTGCGGGGCTCCAAAAAGCAGGTGAGCACGTGGACGGGCCGGTCCGGTTTACGTCATCGCCACAGATTACACACAGGCACCCGGAGAGCCAGCTAAGGTGGCCGGAGTCCACCGGGACGGTTCTCGTGTTTCTTTATTTGAGATGGGAGCTCCAGATTAACTTGAGTGTGTCGGCCCGGCTTTGTTTCTGCCGCCTTATAACTCAAAACTCTCCCCTCTGCCAACACACACACGCACAAGAGTCAGCAGCCAATTTTCCTTTGCAAGCCAGCTGCCAATGGGCTTACCCCCCACACGCACACACACACACACACACACACACACACACACACACACACACACACACACACTCACAGACACACACCCTTTCTCACAGCTCCATTCAGAGTTGACCCCAGGCTTGGCACTTAGCCAAAACCACAAGGCTAGCAGCGCCAGACGCCAAGCTAGTGTTTCCTCAGGCTGTGCGTGTGTGTGTGTGTGTGTGTGTGTGTGTGTG